GCCGAAACCAAAGCCGACCCTCCGGCCAGGCCTGCGCGCCAGCCCAAAGGTCCGCCTTGCTCTGGAGAAGCTGGGTAACTGCTTTTAATTTAAAAACGAGTTGACATTGTACAAGTCCATGTTCTGTAAAATGGAACAGGACCCTCTCGGCCCACCCCAACGCCCCCCGCCCCAGCGTTATTCGGGCTCGCTGCTGTTGGTGGTCTTCTCCCACTCCAAGCTCTCTTCGCTCTGCGCGGGCGAGCCCGCAGACGGCCGTGCCCGGAGGCCCTGAAACCTGCGGCACTCAGGGCACACCCGGATGTGCGTGCACCCTCGGGCGACCAGGGCGGCTTCTTGGGCCAGTCTTTGTGCCAGGGGATCTGGCTCGCCCCCACTGCACAGCTTCCCGTTGCTGAGCGTGGTTGTGCTGCGGGCTCGGCGTTCCTCTGGGATAACAGGGCGAGTCCGTATCATTCCCCCTCGCCTCCGACGAGGGTGGAAACTGTCCTTGCAGAGAATGATGTTGCGCAGCTCCGTCACCATTTCTTGGCACACCGACACCTGGAAGGCAGACCCGAGACATACTGCTCACCTAAGCAAGCTGTGAGCCCAGCAGCACTGCGTCTGCTCTGGATTCTGATGCCAAAGTGTTACGGACTGGGTCATTAATCTGGCCACTGGCTTTCGACACCAATGCTTGGACATTTACACATGATTTAGCCCAATAGATTCTGCCTCTTGTCAAAGACCCTCCTGTGTTCTGGATCACCAAATCAACACGAGACCCAAACCTATTGCAGGTAGAAATCCTCAGGTGATCCCATCTCCAGGAAAGGTACCTGGACATTGTACGTGTCCTTGATCCCTTCAAAAGCCCTTGGAGCATCCCTATAGCCTCAATCTTAGTAGGAGTGCATGAGAAGCTCGTGCATTTTAGACCCTGCCCAATGCATCTAGCCTTCTCGTGCGTTTGAGGTCGCGTTACTAGGAATGCTCATCTTGGCCTGGGTACATTACTTGCTCCAGAGCACTGCACTGCTGAGCACCCCGCAGATAGCAATAAACACACACTGTCCCCTCAGGACACTTTCAGGTCCTACCTCTGACTGTTCAGAGTGCCGAAGGCTCCACAAAAATTCCAGCATTGCCATAAAAATTGCTACGATTAAGCCACAGATGAGAACCACGAAGATTCCACCGATATTCTCCATTCCCAGGCCTAAAATGAAGCAGAAGAGACAATGCTGTAGAGAGGCAGACACAACATAAATTGCAAGCATCGCTGTACAGAAATGCCAAATCTTTGCTGTTTAGTTGGCATTGCATATACACATAGCCAGCACTGTCCTATTAATAGCTAACCGCATGACTCAGATAGCAAACTGAATGACTTGCAATAACTGCACGATCGAAGATGCGTTCTCAGAAATGATGATTTTGCAGATAAACAGCAAGTACATTGGAGGGAAGTACAAAGCAATTTGTGGACAAACTGAAAACAGGAGAAAAAATGAGAGATCAATTGGGGACATTAATCCCTGCAAATTATTCACCCAGCACCAGTTGCTTTGAACTTCGCAAAGGAAGATGAGCAATGTTGTTAAAGAAGCAGAGGTGAAGACGACAAGAAAGGACTTCAAAGGAAGCTGACACCAAGAAAAGCTTCTTTGACTGCATTACAAAGTGCTGGTGAAAAATGATTACAGCTGCTTGTATTGCACTAGCAAGGAGAGGTTCCAAACAAGACCAGGACCCAACACTGTTTCACACTATACAGTGACCGAATGGGGTCCCTGCCACCCAGGGGTACCTGGTAATGGATTGGGTGCTCTCTGCCCAGCACCCTCTGGCCCATGAGGAGGAAACAGCCTCTTCCATGGGGCGACTCATCTCACCTCCCTTGGACAACTCGCTTACAACGGGATGACTATCACCTCTACTGATCGTAGGAGCCATTCAGCCACCTCGGGCCAAACGCCGCACACACAGACAGCTTCACTTAGGGGAGGGACCAAATCGCATGCACGGCAGCTGCCAGCCCTGCCCTACACCGCTTGCACTCCAAAAAGCTCACCAGCTGGAAGGAAAATCCACCCCTCAGGAACCTGGCCTGAGCTTTCCATGTGCCCAGGCTGTCACTTCGCTTCCCACCGCAACCCCTGTCCCCGAAACTGCACCCTGTGCCTCCGCCCGGCGCTGCAGAACAGGACAGTGAGAGGAGCCGGGGAGCAGTGCCCGCTGTCCGAGAAACGGCTCTTCTCTCCTGTGCTGGTTGGTTTTGGGTCTCAAGCGGACTGGGCCCCTGATGGGACTGATTAATAAAAAGCATGCGGTGCTTTGCACTGAGGTGACTGTATGAGGCCATTACTCAACAAGAACATCTATAAAAATCTTCCTCTCCCCTCTGTAGCATTAAATCAAACTGTAAGAACCGATGATTTATTGACTTAATCTCTGCATGGCTTTTAGACGTAAAATCTCACCAAAATCCTTGTAAATCGCTGACCTGTTTTGTTCTAAAACTTAGGAGGTCACATTTCTTCCTCCTCCTCCGTCATTCTTTTGGCATTGCCTCCGGAGCAATCTAGTGACTCTGTAAATCAGCACTTTGCAGAGATGTTTCCAGTAAAACAGCAATTGCAGGGCAGAAAACATAGCCCATAATCACAGTTTAGACCCAAGATAAAGGCCATCCTCTCCTCTCAGCAGCTCTCAAATTTGAATTTAGGACCAGTACCTCTCTCTACATCCTTCTATCATTCTATCTGGGTGCCACCTCAGACACCCTTTCCCAAGCTCACCCGAGAGGTAGTTGCTTCCTCCGTATACACATACCAGCAGGCTACAGCCTTCCTCATTTCCCAAACTGAGGAAGTGAGCCATGATAGAGGGCACAAACAGCAGAAAAACTTGTCCAGGGTCACAGAGCATATCGCGTAGTGCCAGAAACAGCCCAGGAGCCTGCTTCCCAGCCTCCCCTTCCAAAGCCATCTCAAAACAGCCCACAGACTAGATTCCACTTCAGAGTTGCTTTTTGCACAGTCCACAGAAGAAAAGACTCCCATGTGCCTGCTCACTTTCAAAAGTAACTTCTTTAATAGCTTGTCACCTTGCCCTGAGGCCTGATGTCTTACACTGGGCCAACAACTTCTATCTCGAGACTAACAGCCCGGGCTGCCTGCAGTGCAGCGCTGCCCAACAGGGAGCACGGGCTGACAGTCCCCGCAGGGTCTCATCCAGCCTAGCTCACGAACTGCACAGACACATGCATCTACACCGGCTGCAATGTCAAGAAAACAAGAGAGCTACTATAGACCTGACTTGGCTCTCCATCTCTGTGCTCAGAAAGGTCAGAGGACTGTCCTTTCAACTGGGGGACCTGCTGGCCTCCCAGAAAACACTTGCTGAGGAAAGGGTGACTGCCAAAACTGAAAAATGCAGCAACTGCGTTAAGCTGGCAACTGCTCTCACGCTGGGACATCAGCCTAATGTGGTAGCTTTTATGGCAATTTGCATAGCATTACCCAAAAGAATTTGCTCCTCAGTTTACAGATGTACTAATAAAGTCCTTGTGTCCTTTCCCCCGGCTGTTTAAAAGGCGCTTTCACTTGGAGCCATTAACCAGCGGGCCTGTGGTGGAGATCCATCTCCCTTGAAGGAACCCAGGATTTTGGTCTGATCCCTTTAGCCATCCATTTTCCCATGTAATGCTGCAGACATTCATTAGAAGCTAATTTACCCTCCATATGCCTCCAATATTTGTCATTTGGTTGTTCCCGCTATCTCTGCCCCAGGCAAAAACACACAGCATGAGGCACAGCAGAGCTGTTTGGCTTTCTCCTTGAATTGTGAAGGAAGGAATCTCAGGTCAGAAGAAGGGGAAAAAGTAATTCTCAGGCAGAAAACTGGCAGCGCTCACGTGCAGATGGACGTTCATCCTTGCACTGCTGGCAAGGACGCTTCTACAGCCTCGTCCCTTCAGCACGCTACCGGAGAGCGGCGTGGCTTACCTTTGGCTCTGTGGTCCTCCTCTTTGGGGCACTTGCCTCCTTCCCACCACTTTCGCTTCAGGATTTCCAGGCGGTTGTTCTCTTGCAACTGGAGAATGGCCAGGTCAAACTCGTCGCGAAACACAGAGCCTGCAACGCCAAGAGGTACGTGGTAAGGCACCGCCTCGGCCAGCCTTCCTCTCCACTCATCCCCGCCACCATGCCCTGCCAGTGTGCCCAACCACAAAACCTCGTCTTGGAATGGTTTGGAAGGGACTTCAGTCTATGCAAGCCCTTGAAACCTGCAGCGTCCCTGCTGGGACTGTCAACTGGTTAACGTTATTTGCAGATGGTAATTTCGCCTGTCCACCAAGACCCACATAGGCCATTTAAAGAGGTCCATTACAAGGGGGAGCTTGGGCTTCAGGGGCAGGGTCTGACCAGGCAGTTCAGTACCGCACCGCTGCTCCTCCAGACCACTGAGGTCCCTTCTCCTGTCCTTCTGCCTCCAACTTCAACCTGGCTCTAACACTCCTTCCCTCAAACTGGTGCACTGCAACAGCAGCAGGTTCAACCTAAACGCAAGCCCAAATGTTCGTGGTAGAGGAGGCTCACTTCTGCGCTCGGTACTGAGCTCTACTGCAGTCTTGATGATGTCTGCTACCAGAGATCCCGAAGAAGGGCCGTGGGAAAGACCGCAATTCTCCTGGTAACTCTGCACTATTGTCCCAACGAGCAGCTTTCTGCTCTTCTTACCTGCTACAGTTTCACTGTTTAACAAGACAATGTCAGAACAAATTTAGTCCTGAAAGTAAGGATTTGTACTCACGATCAGGTTACTGTGACTTTACAAGCTTACGCATGTTAGCTAAACTATAGTGACTGTTTGTGTGACAGTTCTTATGTAATTCACCTTAGCTTTGTATTGCTAAGTGCAGATGCGTAAAGGTCAGGAACAAGGCTTCCCGAGCCTGCGAGACTGGCAGAAAGATCAGTCGATTGCTTGCAATAACAACTACTACATCCTTTTTCTGCGCTGCCCTGGGAGATGATGTTCTCTTGCTAGCTCTCATATTTGAGAGACAAAACGCCTGCATTTGTTAAACCTGATTATTAGCTGAGATAGTGACTAAATTCTCTGTCCTGGAGTTTTAAGAACCACCAGCTGTTAAGAAACTTGTGCTAAAAACTACAAGAGTTGCAACAGCTTTACTTTTACAGCACTTCTGAGATAAAACAAGGAGCACAAAACGATTCAAAAACACTGGTTCAAAAGAGAAACAGTCAGCAAAGAGCACATACATGCAGAAAATAAGCAGCAATCTTTCACATGAATTATTTAAAGAGCCACAGTCGCGTGTCACATGGCTCTGGACCAGAGCAGGGTCTCATACATCTGGCTCTGAGCGTGCACCTTGGGCAATTGCAATGTATTTGATTTTCCTCCTGGGGTAAAAAATGACCCTGGGCAGAGCCGTGAAACGTGACATTGGCTTTAGAGCCGGTTCAGCCTTTCAAATGCTCCGGTCCTCTGCCAACAGCTGAGAAGGACTAGAATTTTTCTTCACTGCCTACCGACGGGCATGCCAATCCCGTAGCCCTTGGTGTCCAGAAGGCCCCCGACCTGCGTGAGGTTGCAATTGCGCTGACGATAATACTCGTTCATGGTGGACTCCAGCAGGAAGGCGTAATTGGAGTTCAGCACACGTGCAATCCCTTCCTCCGTGCTCTTCACAAAGACACTTGGCTGCTTGGAGTACATGTAGTTCCACATCCGCTGGTACGTCTGGTAGCGGGAGTTCTGCAGGAGAAAGGAGGCAAGTGCAGCTAAGGTGGAGCATCTTCTTGCAACATAAACCCCAAATTAGAGGCCACTATGAAAAGGCCGTAATGAGGAAAGGAGTCAAAGCAGATTTGGTGCCAGATTCAAAAAACATTTAGATAAACCTCCATTTATCCCAATGAGATTTAGAGGCCCAAATATCTTGGTGGATTTGAGACTTTGTTGGCAAAGCTGAGCATGAAATGCATGCCTAATTCCAATAGGTTCCAGCAAAGCTCTTTGCATAAATTCAATTTTAGAAAAATGAGTAGTTTCCGTAACAGTATATCAAAAACACACCAAAAAAAGCCATAAGAAATAGCTCGTGTGTGACTGATTCAAACCACCAAATGCTCCCCGTACAGCTCGCACCCCATTGTCTGTCACTGTAATCTTGTGCCTAGCAGTTCACCAGCGTCAGAACCAGACACCATCACCTTGAGAAGGGCACTGAGGGCTGGGGGCAGAGCTAAAGCTCTTTGGAGTTTGTTGTTCCCTGAATCCGGATTTTGGTTCACCCCCTCGTAAGGCAAATTAAAGTACCTGCTTAAGAGAACAGGAGTCTTTTCATTGACTGCAGTAAACTAAAGCTCAACCAGCCCCAAATCCTCAGACTTGGCTGGTGGTTGAACCTACCTTGGTTTGACTGAGAGAAAAGCTGACTACAGTTAATCTCTCTTGCCTGTGCTGAGCAAAGAGTGAAACCTGCTTGCACAAAGGCTGAAGATAAACACTCTCTGGTCTACATTAGGAGTTTCTGAATTTGCCCCTTTCCCCTCACCCTTGCATTTCTGCAGCACACGGAATCCCCTACACCACCTCCTCTCCCGGCCACCACAGCAGGTACGTGACGTGCTGCCAGGCACCCCCGCCATCGTGCTTTCAAGGGCTCATTTTCTGTGGCTGGTGAGTAATGCTGGAGAGCCTCAGGGAACCTGCTGCTGACCTAGTTACTGTCCTCGTCTGTCCAGCTCTGTCCTCTGGGTGCAGTCACTTGGGCAAGGGACAGACGAACAGGGTGTGTGTTTGCTCCTGATTCACTGCACTTTTAAACCTTAATCCTGTGTGTTAGCGTCAGGGGAAACTGCTGCCAGGGCAGGTTACAAGGCAAGGTGCTTCACCAGCAGACACACGTCTCATGCAGCCAGGAGCTGCGGGGTGGTGATGACAGCCTCGGCCATGCCTGCGTTTGACCCACCATGGCTACACCAGAGGCAAACGGATCCCAACGTAGTTTAAAGTGTTGCAAATGGTACAAGAACATCTTTTGCTAATTTATTCTCTGATACCAGCGACTCCAGTACCCACCAGGCAGCGCAGAGCCACAGTCAGGATTTTAAACTTGAAAGCCTTCCTGAAAAGAACTAAGTGAGTGCCTCGTCTACAACCACCTTAGTCACTTGGGCTCTGCTCAGCTCATTTTAGATGTAACGTTCTACTTAAAAGTAGCTTTTTGCCAAACCCCTGAAGAGTCTAAAGTTGGGCTGAAAAGCTCAGGCTCACTTGAGAGATTTCTCAGGCTTCCCAATTCAGTTCAGACTCAGGGGGGAAAAAAGTGATAAAAGCTTTCTCTCCTCTCAGAATTTCAACATGTAATAAATAAATAATCCTCAAGCAGTTCTTTGTGCATTCAGAGCACTGCAGAAAAGATTCATTTATCTCCCTTCTGAATAGAACAGGGAAGACAAAAATTAAATTGGGCTAAATGGCACGCATAAGTTTGCATACACCTGAGTTACTTGTTTTCAGTGCCACTGACCACATACAGACTCCAGCACTTTTACATATGCTAGCCTACCTGGGGTTTGCAAACATTTCTTTGCTTACCCAACCTGAGGGACTGTCATGTAAAAGCCAAGATCACATCAAAACTGCCATAGACACACATGGAAATTTGACTGCAAACGCTCATCTGCTGAAGACTCTGTTATGTCATCACTGTGACACCGGGATGTGGACCACTTTCCCACCCACGTGGTGACACTCCAAGTGTTAAGTTGCTTTCTAAGGGCAGGCAGGAAAGTCTGCTCCTCCAGGGTTCAGCTCAGATAGTCCTCCAGCATCCCAAGAGCATGCCAGGTGCTGTGTTACAAAATCCTGCCTTCCCTGTCCTCTGCCATGCCTCCCTCACCATTCATCCCATCATCACCCACTGTGGATCTAGCCCAGTCCTGTGCAACCAAGCAGCCAGGGATCTCTCCAAAGGTCCCCTCTGTGCCAGAAACCGGAAAGAAACAGGCATGACAGGCTGGGGCCATATCCAAATCTGATTAAAGGGTGCCCTCTGCACCCCCTGGCCCAGTTAGCAAAAGAATGGGGTTTACTTGGAAGAAGGTCATGCTGGAGCCACCATGAATGGTGCCGTACTCGATGGCTGTCTGGTCAGCCAGGTCATCTACGGATTCGATGGGGACATCCATCCGCTGCACGGTGAGGAAGGCTGCCAGATTAGCCGTGTAGGAGGAGATGATGATCAAGGTGAATGCCCACCTAGGGAAAGGGGAAGCGAAGACAGTGACCTGAGATTTCCCCATGGACTGAATCTGATCTCCATCCCCACCCTCTGCTTCTCCATCTGCTTCTGCCCAGAAAAGACCCACAGAGAAGCCTTCCTTAAGAGGAGGGCTGACCTCCTTACCAGACTCCACTGACGCAGCGCGTGGATAATGCTTGGGGGGCAATGGTGGAGCCTTGCTGCATGAATCCCCCGACTGGAAACCACAAGCTGTTGCCGAGAGAGTACTGATTCACGAGAAGATTGCATCTGCCTTGCGAGCAGGGGTGGGGGCTATACCATTCGTACGGTGTCAATCTAAAATGACAAGAAACAGGTAGCTCAGGTAATTCACTGGGAAATGGGGCACTCTGGAGGGAAAAAAGCCAAAAAAGAAAAGCTGTGAAGCCCTAACGCTCCCGGAGGCAGATTTTTTCTGAGGAGGAAACTCTCTGTTGTAAATTGATGCCCAGGGCTCAGAGCTGTGTGAAATGCTTGCTCTAAGACTCAGAAGCCAGAAGCTTTCTTGTAAAGATTTGCAAAAGTTTGAGAGGCTCTGCTGAAAATCTGGGCATGGGCTGCAGGGAGGCTGGAGCCCTGTGTGTGAATTCGTATCACAACAATAATTCCAGATGTTCACAGACTTGATGTGAAATTGAAGTCAAACATCTTTGGCTGTGTTCCCTGCTGGAGAATGAGCATCAATGGGAAGTTCAAAAGTGAAGCGTGTGAGACCTGACTGCATGACACCATCAAGAAAAATAACTGTATTGATGCAAATGGTTGCTCTGAGAAGGTCTGATTGCCCTGGCAAGCTCTAGGTCCCAGATCTAGTTTGAAGCCAAGTGCTGGCGTTTCAAAGCATCACATACTTTCAGTGCTTACAGGGACAGGACAGAGGTGGGAATCTGAAATAACTGACAGCCAGTCACTGAAGTGGCTGTAGCCTAGCTCTCTTTTTTTGCTGTTTCCAACCCTCAGTTCCCTGGTTGCTAAAAAGTCTTCCAATTCCTATGCTGCCGTTCATTATATTGCTAATGGTTAACAAAGCTGGTGCCTGGGAGTGTCATTCTGGGGGTACTGCCAGTACAGCTGCAGGGCCCTGCCAGCTTATGCACCATTTAACCAAAATGAGGTGTTTATTTTCATTTCTGCATCTCCTACCTCACTGTGATGCCAGCGAAGTGGAGGCTATTTCTTGAAGACTTTCTATGGCTGGATCAAGCACTGGCAGTAAAAAACAGTGCTCTGGGTCAAAAGCTCCTTTCTGCTGAGCAAAGCAGAGAGCAGCGTCCAAACCTCCATCTCCAGCAGGAAGCCACGTAAAAACATCTTTCTGGAGGATCATGTTTAAAAGATGAGGAGGGGGCTAGAGGGGCACCAAATCTCAGTCTGCAGAGAGCGCCAGACTGCATTATTCAATGGTTTCTTCGGAACTACGTTTCTGAGGCTGTAATGGCATTCGAAGAAACCATTAAAGCCCTGTCAGGATGACAACTTCAGCCATGCTAAGGGACCGAGTGACAGCACAGTTCCAATTTTTGTAATGAGAACTGGGTATGAACCGTGTCCCGAAACAGCCTTCAAGCCCTGAGCATGCCTTTGGTACACATTGCCAGGACACAGTTCAACTATGTCTGAAAAGGCCCATCTATGGCACCAACCATAAGCGGTTTGTCAGGAGGTCAGGGAAAACAGCAACGGGGCACAGACCCTAGGCCTCGACGGGAGACACGCTGCAGACAAGCACTCAGTGATACATTTTAAGGCTGATTTAAATTAGTCATAGGGAAACGGAACGGAGAGCTGTCAAGTGAGGCTTTGCACATCAACCGAGAGACTGTTGAAAGATATTAATGAACTTCCTTTTTCTGTACACACTGGGTTTTACAGGGCCGGAGGAACCAAACATCACTACTGGAATTTGCATTAATATCTCTGAATGCATTTGCCAGTACCTGCCAGCCTCCACTCTCCTGTTCAAGAAAAGTGGTTGGTTTATCTGTTGCAGATCGAGCATCTACAGGGAGCAGCACCATTTGCACAGCACCAGCCCTGCTCCCAAATCTCCTCCCACTCTTCCCACACAGCTCTCCGCACCGGCACGCACCGCTGCGGCCAAGCACGCTCCTGAATCGCGGCACGCTGCTCCTGCCCGCCCTGTCACAGCCATGCCAACAGCCATCCCGGGGCAGCCACACGCATCAGCGACGTGCCTGCGTGCGCACTCAGCAGCGAAGCCCCAGTCCCCAGCTGGCGGAGGGCAGGGGGCTGCGATGCTTCTGTCCCCCTTACCGTGCCCTCCATGCTGGGGGGATGTCCCCGTGTCCCCCTGCCCAGCCCCTCACCGCGCATCCCCCCACGGATCCGGGAGCGTGACGCTAGATGGCACCGCGAGGAAGGAAAAGGCACCGCCAGCCGCATTACCGAGCAACCAAGAAGAGGACGCAGCTGACAGCCAGGTAGGCGAGCAGCATGAAGAGCCAGACACCAGGGGAAAAGGGATCCAGGAACGAGAAGTAGCCAGGTTTGCGGCCCTGGAAGGGAAACAAAAAGGAGTTTGACCTGCTTGTATTGTTTGACCTGGCATGCTCATCTAACTC